AACTGTTCGTTTGTTCTATGAAATAGTGCTCTGATTGAAGTTCTCAGACCTGAAAGTTTTCATATCGAGTCAATCTAGGTTTAATCTGGGCGTGTGCCGGCACACATGGGTGCTCAGCATTCTGTGGAGGCCAAAGTTTTTCTGCCCCAGACTCATTTTGTCTCATATGACACATAATTGGAAATGCCTAATGATGATAAGAAAACACGCAATATTCGACTAGTCAGAGAATAATTAAAAAATGTAGTCCGAGTGGAAAAAGTCAGTTTATTGATACTTTTTTAAAACAAAGTCCTTTTTATCTAAGGATCATTCCAGCCAGTGCAGTTGGTTCTCATAGTTCTTTTATTTCTAAAGCTAAATCAAAAGTATATCTTTTAAAAGAGTAAAAAAAAACCCATCCCATTATTTAATGGAGTTAAAAAGGAAGAGAGTGTGCTGACACATTTCTGCGTTGTATTTTTATTCCCACCAGTCAATCTATTGATTTTATGTTGCGTGTCATAGTCTTAAAGAAGCTGTGGCGGCTTTCACTTTGCTGTAGGACAGCTCTTCCAAACAGTGGCCACTGTAAAGGGCTAGCTCTAAGTGCTCTGCCTTGTCTGAAAAATACTCACATGGCTGCACAACACAAGCCCAAAGTAAGGCGAGCAGGAACTGCATGACTACCTTTTGCGCTATTCATTCTCTAATAGATGTGTATGTGTATGTACATGTTGCCTCTGCAGGGAATAGTATGATGAAACTGTTGGAAAGATATTTACTGCTGAGCAGCAGGCTGGCTCTAAAGAAGGCAGACTGAGAATTAAAAAATGCTTTGTCAGTCAAATGTGTTTGTGAAATATCAAATTAAATAGGAGTGGTGAGCTGCTGCGTTTTGTTTTAAGCAGGAGCTTGTCACACGTTGTCAGTAATGGTGTTACAGTAAGACGATGTTTATCAGACATTTTGAGACATTAGTGTCTTGTCAAGGCACCACATGACTGACTAATTTAAGCTGCAGTGTCCTCTTTATTAATTCAAGTACACAGCTAATTAATTGAACACTAAAAGCACTTTGGCTCCTGCATCCTCATTTGAGTGTAAATTACAGTGTTTAAGGTAACACATTCCAAAGTAAAGTGTTACCTTAAACTGAAAGTGACGTTGTGGACGTTACTCTTATTTTTAGCGTATGAAAGGAGAAGAACGAGACGCTAAAGTGCAAACTGCATCCAGGACAGAAACAACAGCATTATAGTGTTGACACAACAGCAGCTCTTTGCAAGCATCTGCACTGACGGCATGGTGACACAAATCTAGCAAACAGTCCAGAGTGATGCTAAAGCTGAGTGCATGCCAACCCCAGCCCAGCAGCCAGTCTGGCCTTCAACAGGTAACAAAGGCAGTGAAGATCACTCAGTCTTGTAGTATTATTCCTATACCTACCTGTACATATATCTACAGTAGAATTACGAGTAGTCTTTTTGCTCTGGTTTTCAACTGCTTTGTGTTTTCAGCATTGTGGTCCAACTTAAACACGAAAATAATTATATTTATCTCCTCTTTAGCATAGGGATTTGTGTTAATAGGGAGGATTGTAGTCTAAGCCTTATATTCTTAACTAGTAATTATCTAGGCCCTTACCAACTGAACACATTGTGAAATATTTGCATGTGTATAAAGGCCTTAATACAAAAATAACATAATGAGTATTGTAACAAATGATTCATTAACATACTGCATTACTTTTTTTTTTAAAAAGTAACAAGTAATTTGTAATGCATTACTGTTTTTGAGTAAGGACACCAACCCTGTCCATCACCTAGCGTATCTTTTTAATAAATAGCTCTGCCTGCATAGAAACTAAAAGTGGCACAAATAGAAGCTCTTTCCCAGTGCATGTTAAATTAATGATGTCTTCTACCAACACATGAGTCTTCTGAGAAGGAATTGCATGCATTTACACCTACACACTGGAACAACTGCTCAAGAGGCTAAAATACATTAAAATGTCACCTTAGGCTATTGTAGTCCTGCAGCTACACTGCCTCTAGATAAAAACCTCTCAGGCACCTGCAGCATCTGTGAAGTGAGGTTAGCAGCAGGACTGGCATATATCACTTACACCAGCACAGTGACACGTCATGCAGCCTCGGTGGATAGCATACAGAAAGCAATGAGTCACAAGTACATTACTAATCTTAGTGCATCTCATCAAATTGATCTGGTAGAACGCTGCTTCACACAGACTGGTATCAATCATCCTGTCTGCTATATTTGAAGGCTCTTTTTTGAGTACTGGAGGAGAACAGGGTAAGGTAGTGTTTATGGGCTTAGGTCAAAGATGTATTAACAGGGAGTTTTGTTTTTCTGACTACTTGACCAGACAGGATATGCTCTTTGAGTTATGAGTGACATAATTTAATATGTGATATAGCTTTTCTTTGGATCGTTTTTTTTCCTGAAAGCAGGCATTTGTTGGCTAAGTAGTTGGTTGAAAGTGAGAAAGGGAGAGCAACAAGTGGATTTGTAGATTAATAGCATCCACATTGACCGCATTACTTGCTTATCATGTCCCATTTTTAACTGTAGCCAGAGTGGTGTGCTCAAACCAGAATGTAAGTACTGCAATGAATGAGCTTAGTTCAAAACAGCAGAATATTGGCAACTGGCTCAATTATAGCTTTTAGAGCCCAATTTATTCTCTGCCCTGTGATGCAATAATCTGTGATTTAAAGCGGTGGTTTGTGTGGTAGCGCTGCAGTGTTTGGCTCTGTTGGCTGGTACAAGTATCTCTGTAAGCGCAGGCAGATGGACTGGATTATTCAAAGGTCAAGACCGTGGGATTAGATTCAGAGATTATCACAGCTCAGTCAGTCTCTGCGATAACGCAGAAGAATGACAGTCGACCCAACCAACCACTCGGCCTCTGCCTTCTTCACATCTGTCTGCATTCTGGCCTTTTATTCACCGTTCACTCAGTATTCAGTTTGAGAACATTTGTAGCGAGAATTAAAGTGTGACACCAATTCAGCCTCAATCCTGCTTAGTTTTTGAATGCTCAACTGACTGCACAGAGTCCACTCCACCCTATGATTCAATAACTTGTAGAACCAGCAGTAACAGCTTGATGTAATCATTTTCTGTGTGATGTTATCGGTTTCTCACATTGTTGCGGGGGAGTTTTGGTCCATTCGTCTTTACAGTGTTGCTTCAGTTCATTGAGGTTTGTGAGCTTTTGTTTATGCGCAACTCTTTTAACGTGTAGGCTTTGACTGAGCCATTGCAACACTGATTTTTTTCTTTTTCTGTTATTCTGTCAGAGATTTGCTGCTGTGTTTGGGATCATAGTCCTGTTGCACGGCCCAATTTTGAGTCGGGTAACTTCAAATTTGACTCTAGAATACTTTGTCAAAGTACAGAGGAGTTCTGGCTTAACCTTACAGGTAAAAGAAGTCCAAATGATCACCCCTCCACCACCGGTTTGACACTTGTTATGTGATTTTTACCAAATGTGGCACAGTGCATGATAGCCAAACATCTCAGCTTTTGCTCTCATCTGTCCAAAGGACATTGCTCCAGACGTCTTGCAACTTTGCAAGCCTACAATGTTCTTTTTAGCAAGAACCGACTTTCTTCTGGCGACCCTTCCAAACAAGATCATATGTTCGTACAAGTACACAAACTTTTATGTGCAATGTTACCTCCGCCCCGTAGCTTCAGAGATGTAGCGCTGGGTTTTTTGCAGTTTCTCTGCCTGTAATTTTGCACTGCTCAGTCTGGCCTTGGGGTGAATTTGCTGGGACGTCCACTCTTGGGAAGACTGTAGCGTTGTGTTAAAACAACTCTAAATGCGCCAGTCATTTAAACTGCCAAAATCAGCTTTTTTGAAGGTGGTCATGCTTATTGATCCTCAGATAATCAACTTCATCTGATTAGGAATTACTTACTCTCTTTATTCCTATGGAAGCAGTAAGGGTGCACTGAGTTTTTGACAAGACAGAGTGCTGTGAAAGCTTTCTTTTAAACACAACTGTACACAGATCTGAACATGGTATCATTGAAATAAACATACTAATAATACAGTTTTTCAGATATTACAGGTAACCGTGTTTGTCCTCAGTGGAGTAAACTATCCCCGTGTCGAGCTGCAGAAAGTGTTCTGTAAAAACGTTTTAACTGCAGCTCTCTTTGAATCATTCATTTAGACAGCTGAGATTTAGCTTCTGATAACAATGAAAATATTTCTTAACTTCAGCTCATGCCCCCGGGGTTTTCGAGCTTGTCCCAGGTGACATCAAGCAAGAGGTGGGTTACTCCCTGGACAGATCACCAAGGAGACAGACAACCATTCATGCTCAAATCCACACCTACAACCAATTTGGAATCACCAGTTAACCTAACAGACATGTCTTTGGACTCTAGAAGGAAGCAGACATGCCCGGTGAAAACCCACACGGGCACATAGAGAGAACACACCAACTTAACACAAAAAGGCCTCAGCTGACGAGCAAACCCAGAACCTTCCTGTGTGACGGGGCAGTGGTAAGCACTGCACTGCTGCTTTATCACTTCATCCCATCAGCTTTGCAGCAGCAGCAAAGAGAATGTGAAAGAGTCATTCTCCCCTGTCATTTTGTCATCATAGATTCGATTTTTAATGCACTTTTAGTTTGGTAATAAGTTTGTAACATTACCTTCACTTTGCTGAGTTCTCCACTGCTCAGTGCTGCTTCGTATATACAGAGAAAGGGGCTTCAAGCATGAAAAACAGTGAGCACAGGTCAAAAAACTAGCTTGTTTGTGAATTACAAAAAAATAACAATTTAAACAAATAACTAGTTTACGTACGTTTGTTTAACAGCCTTTGCAGAGCAGAGGCAGGATGTCGTGGTGGATGATAGGGGAAGCAATATTACCAAAACATGTTGCAGTTTTTCAGTTTAAAAGAAGGGAAATGATTGAAGGGAAGGATCTGCTTGTCGTTCTAAACTGTTCTCTTTTTTTTTCTTCTTCAGACCAGGCTGTGCGGATGAGTGATTGATGCCAACTACGCTTCTTCAGGTAAACACACACAGGCCCACGTCATCAAAGTTTTTATTTGTTTTTTTTTTCTTTGCAAACAAATAGCATGTTGGATTAGGATGGAAGATTATAAAATACATAATGGATTATAGAACAACCAAACCTTTATCTTTTGAAAAAAAAATCAATCATTTTCAGTTTTGTTTTTTCCACTAATAGGATTTTGTCTCTTTTGTGTGTGTGTGTGTGTGTGTGTGTGTGTGTGTGTGTGTGTGTGTGTGTGTGTGTGTGTGTGTGTGTGTGTGTGTGTGTGGCTCCTGCTACTTGGTGTAGCCCTGGGGGGCTCAG